TAGCAGGGTTATAAAACACCTGCCGCGAAGACCTGGGACCTGAGAAGCGTCTCTTGGCGGCGGTGGGGAGGGAGAGGGGAGCGACGTTTTCCGCCTCTTAAGGGATTAAGCTAGCCACAATGGTAAACAGTCCGTCCTGTTTCTTTTCCTTTGCAGTCGCCCTTTGCGTCCTGCTGCAAGAAGGTGAGAGAACCGTCAGGATTTTTTTTTTAAAGCCTAACTTTTTGGGGGTCTGCTCTGTGCTTGTTTTAAATCCTGCTATTTTTTTTTAATGCATTTTGCTTGTGAAGGAGCCTTCGTTCTTGACCCCCTCCTGCGTCCTTGCCAGCCCGAGGCTGAGCTGCCTCTTCATCCCCGCACGGCCCCTGCAGCGAGGCCAGACGTCGCTCTCGGCTTCTAGCGGAGTTTGGCTTCGCAGGGATGGATGGTCCTCTCAGAGCGCCGAGTTTGCTCTTAGCCCAAACCCCAGTGATAAAGACCTTTTTCTCTTTTTGGGGTTTGCTTTTTTTGGAGGAAAAAAAAAAAGACGTGGGTTCTGTTTGCAACCTTCCCAAAGGGAGAAGCAAAAAAAAAAAAAAGACTCGATTCCTTTGGCACACTTTGGCACGCTCCTGGCTTGCCCACGCTTTGTGTGATCGTCACTGAACTTAAAAAAGGAAAGAAGCCAAACACAGATAACCCTTCCCCGGCTCCCTTTAGCCATGCTCTGTCACTTCTCGGGGGTGTTGATTTCATGCGCTAATGAATCCGCCTCTCTCCTGATAAGCGCAGGGCATTCCAAACATGGGCCAAAGTGTACACCTAGGCAAGACGTCCAATATCACTTTTGGTGTCTGGTTTGTTGCTGAGTAATGCCCAAAAGCTGCGGGGTCTGTAAACACCCTGAGTGAATAGAAGAACACGCTTTTATGACCTTGCATTCTTGGTCACTAAGGCTGTGGCTGCTATAAAACAGTTAAGCTGGGAAATGAGGGGGCAGGCTAATCGCTCTGTTTACATACCAGGATGCGTTCCTGGCCCTTCCGAGCCAGAGCCGGGACTGATCCATCTTCTCTGTTCTTTTCTTCCCTCTTGGGACACGAATAGGCCAGGCCACCACAGAATCCCACCTGCCGGCAGCCAACGGTCGACACCAGAGGACCAAAAGATGCTCTTGTATCAACTGGATGGACAAGGAGTGCATTTATTTCTGCCATCTTGATATCATCTGGATCAACACACCAAGGTAAGTGAAGCTCCTAGGCTCTGGAAAAAGGTGGTGACCAATTTGGAGGGGCTGTGGCTTGGGGTAGCCAAGCACCACCTTTTCATGCAGAAGGTTCTCATTCCAACCCCCAGCATATCTAGGTTGGTCTGGGAAACATGCCTGTCTGAAACCTTGCAGTGGCTCATGCTGCAGTCAGTGTCCCCAGCAGTGGGTTGAATGGGCCAAATTTCTGTCTTAATACAAAGCAACTTTATCCTACCAGATCCATGTGAATGACTAGACTGGCTACCAATAAATTAGGTGGTTTGTACTCTGGGACAGTATCCAAGTGAATGGGCTGGCAGGGAAATCCGTGTTCTCTGCCTCTTAAGAAACTTTTGCATATGACACTCAAAAGCACTCTTCAGCTTCCTACCCTTTATCTTTATTTTGGGTGGTGGTGGAAATATAAATGCTTCCAAGGGCTGGTTGCTATCTGCATGCAATTATCAAGAAGGGGTTGGCCAATACAGCAAGACCCCAACAGCTCTCAAACAACCTCTCTTGAGCTGCTGAGGATCCAAGCCAAAGAGACTACACTTGCTTAGGTGTGGTTCTAATTATGCCTGCTAATCTGCAGTATTGAGTAACAATCCAGTCAGGAAGGTGCATTGCATTCTCCTCCAGATTTATTTCATTTTATTTTTTTAAGGAAGAGGAAAGGCTGGGAGCTGAGTGTAATAAGCACTGCTGAAGGCTGTTCTCCAAAGTTACAAAGCGTGTAAGAGGGTGGTGGTTTCTTTTTAAAGAAATGAACTTCTGACACTCTTAAAGTCCAGATTGGTCAGTATGAAAAGATAGCATTGGGCAGTGGGAGTGTAAGATGAATCCAGTTGGATCAGATCCAAGACCCACTAAGCCCAGCATTCTGTTCCCATCCTGATCAGTCAGATGCTGATGGAAGCCCATCAAAGGGACATGAGTGCACTTGCTGCTTCAGATGTATGCTCTCATACATACCACCTCTGATTTTGGAAATAATCCCCCATTCGGGCAGGTGATCATTGATAGCCTTATCCTCCAGAAATTTGTCTGGAGGACTTTAAGCCATGTGAATTGGTGGACATCACAGGAGCATAGAAAGCAGCCTTCTGTTCACTCTGTTATCCAGCCTAAGATTGTTAATGTAAACTGATAACAGATCACAACTATTCAGAAAATGCTGGAGATTGAAACTGTGACTATATGCATGAAAAACAAGAACTCATCCGTTGTGTCATAGCCCAGCCCATTAGTTATGCTTGGGTCCCATTAAAATAAATTGTTCTTAATTTTTCACATGGATTCCAGGGTGACTCAATGCATATAAGTTAATCTTGATTAGAGGTGAAGTACATGTGTCTTCCTGCCATATTGTCCAGCTCCTATTAACCCCATCTGGCATGGCCATTAATCAGGGATGATAGAAGCTGAAGTCCAACTGCATTTGGAGGTCCACTGGGTCTTCTGTCCTAATGTGAGATAAGGGTTTATGTGTCAAGCCATAAACCACAGTTTGCAAACCACTAGCAGGGTTCCTACATTGGACTTATTCAAGGCCAAGCAAACCATTGGCTTAGTGCATATCTGAAGCAAGGAGATTGCTCTTCCCCCTACCAACTACAGAGAAACCTAGTTGTTGTTCAATTTCCTTGGCTACTGACCACACCTATATCATAAATGCATTTCTGATCAACCATGGAGGTTAACTGGATTGTTTTTCTTCTTTCAAAACCAGCCACTCTGCGCCCTATGGGCTGGGAAGTCCTCGTGTACGGCAGAAGAGGTCCCTCCGCAGATGTGAGTGCTTGCATTTCAAGGATAGCATCTGTGCAACTTTCTGCCATGGCAAGCCTCGGTAGGTATGATATAAACAAGAATATATCCCTAACCCTAATCCTGATATAAACAAGGAAGTGCTAAAGCTTCTTGGGAGCTATGAGATTGATAGAGGGAGCCCCATATTTGATGGGAGTTTCCTTGAATCAACCCATGTTTAAATTTACCCATTTCAGCAAGTGTCTTGTCTCCATAAATTCACCCATTGCACCAAGTAGCTTGTCCCAAAATACATCAGGCCAGGATGAGTGTAGAAGAGATACTTGCAGTAGGCTCGTTTGGCAAAGGCACAGTCCAGTCCAGGGTTCAAGGCACACAAATTCTATACCAGGAATCAAGGTCCACAGGATAAACCAATAAGGCATTGTTATTTCCAAGCAAAGTAAATCCAGGCAAGGGCAGATATACAATGAGAGGCTGGCACGGAATTGTTCCAGCATTGGAGTATGCTCAGGAGGCTTAAGTATTGAGAGCTCCTGGCCTTCATCCAGGTATAGTTTGGGCTGATCACTATTAGTGGGCTGCTTAGAGTAATGACCCAGACCCAGCTTTCATGGGGCTCTTCCAAGCAACTTAGCACCCTCCCTCCTCTCTGCCATTTGGATGTCTATATGGTAATGGATGGCAGGCTGGGTGGGCAAATCTCCATTTCATAGTCATAGTCTACAGGGATGGTCTCTGTTTCTGCCATGACACCACTGCTAGGGTCTAGCTCCCCAGAATGGAATCTGTGTGGTGCCCTGTCCAACTGTTGCTCTACGTCTTCTTCCTCAGATGAAGATCCATCTAAGAAGGCAATCTTACTAAGCTATAAAGCCCACAATGGCTGGGTTCATTCAACACTTTAAGCCAAACCCAAATAATGGCCATTATAACTTATGTGAACTTTGCCATTAGAAAAGCTGCCCATGGAAGTCATTGCAGGTACCTGGTAGAAGCCACAAAAACATCATTCTTATCATTATGTCAGGTACATGCATACCCTGTTGTCACCCATGGATTACATGGCAGTCCCCTTTTATGAAACGCAATAGAGCAGAATAGTTCTAATCTAGACATTCATAGCATTCCTTAGATCGCTTGATCAGTCACACACATGTTCTCTATAGCCATACTGTTTGAGCATGATGGCTGTTGTAGTCCAAAACAATGGGAAGCACCCAGTTGCCTATTCCTACACTAAACCATGATAGCATATATACTTCTCTTGAATAATCCAAATCTCTAGTGCCATCTTTTTCTTTTAGACACCCAGGTAGGTCTTTTGAAGAGAACGCTCTTATTGGAACTATATATAACTATTTATTTATTTATTTGTCATATTTATATAGCTGCCCGTCTCACACAAGGTGATTCTGGGTGGCGTACAACAATTAAAGAAGTAAATGCATAAAAACAACTACATATAAAAAAACTGTAAAAATACACAAAACAGGAGGGGATAAAATTAATAAGGGAGCCATTGTAAATACAGTTGTATTGTAAATACAATACAGTAACTGGAATGGTGATGTAGTAAAAAAAAGGCCCTTTAATCTTTTTAGCGTTATGGTCATTAAACTGGGTTCTTAGATAATCTTGTAGCAGTGAATCTAGCTATAAACTTTTCTAAGAATTGGACCTTGCCTTTAATAAACTAGGGGGTGGGGGAAGAGGGAGAAAGCCTGGACAGTGAAATCAGAGCTCCACAAAAAACAACCCAAATGCATGCTTAAGAAATATTAACACCTACTCTTTCTCTTTATTTGCCATTCTCAGTGCTCTCTCTTATGGGACTCACCTTGGCCTCTTATTTTTTTTTTTTCAGAGATCCCCCCAAAATTCAGCTGCCCATGGGCACAGGAGTGCTGGCAAAGCTCCTGCAGAGCAAAAATCTCAAGCTGGATGAGCGAAACTTTTGAAAGTTCTCAGGTAAAAAGTGTTCTTGTGAATCTTTTAATATTTGTATAGTGTACTGATGTTGCTGCATATCCACTCTCATTGGGTGTGTCTCGTGATCCGCAAAATGCTTTGGAGCAGAGTTTGAATAGCCATCGCTCACCCTCCTCATGACGTTTTGCAGAGCTCATTCTGCTAATTCTTTGTCAGAGATTCCTCTCCCTCAAATCTAGAGTGTCGGGCCCTTTGAGTGTTGCTGAATTACCAACTCTCAGCACAGGATGGCCAACATCTGGTTCATCGGGAGGGAGTGAGCGTCCCCATTTCTCACTTAGAGCTGTCAGTTATTGGAGATTGATTTGTTCAGAATGAGGGGGTGAGGCATATATTTGGGGAAGTGGGAGCCAGGTTACAAAGCAAGAACAACTGCCTTCTCCAACTCACTACTTCCAGCCTGCAGTTGTGAGGATGAAAAGGAGAAAAGAGAATACAGTTATGTAATAAATGGTAAAGCTATAAAATATGAACTTCAGGAATTCATAAAGCTCATCTTGCATGAGCATTGTCCCCTCCCCCCTCCCCAATTCCCAGAATAATTCAGAATAATGAAGTAGACCATTGGTTGAGATAGACTTGGGAAAGGTACTTTCCCAAGGATTATTATTATGAGTAATAATGTTCAACATTTGTCACATCCCCATTTTGGCATGTGGAAGTATGAGTAGATTTGCATGGGTTTACATTAAGGAGAGCTATTTCCTGAGAAATATTTAGAGTAGTTCCTAGGATTAAACCAATCCAATCCAAACAGAGTTTGGGAAAGCAGATTCCCTTTGCTAATAAACTCATTTCTCCATTGACTTTATAAGGTCTTCCTAATCCAGAAACCTCCCCTAAAAAGAGTAGGGAACCTGTTGACACCATGCTGCAATTTTTGGACTGTCTTTCCAAAGGTGTGGCATCCGAACTTGGATATGTCTCCTGTGATTCCCCCCCCCCAATTTTAGATGAATACATGCATCCAGTTCCGCATCATGGCTGGGTTTGCACCAGAGAATTTACTGAGCAAAAATGGTGTTGGGCAATTTGTGCCTTAGTGTGTGGTGGGAACCCAGCCACTCTTAGTATATTTTCTGAATCAGGCCCTGCTTAAGCCACAATATGGTTTACTGGGGGGTCAGTGTGTTCTATGGGCATCACAATTATATTTGTTTGCCTGGGTTTAGGATGTCATGCATTGTTTCTCTTGGACTAGAGTTAACTGAGCTCTAAATATAACCTTCAGTGGATATTCATGGGGCATAGGTACGATGTTGACCATTTATCTGATTATATATTTTACAGGATCTTATGCTTTCAGGGACTGAGTTTACCAGAAAGCAGCAGCTCTCTCCAAGATAGCAAGGCCTTCCATGGGAACAGGGCTTCCTGAAGATAAAGTGATCAGCAGGGAACTTAAGGATGCTCTTTGTCTTAGTAAATGGAGTCCTCCATTCCCAAAGGTGCTCCTCTATCGAGGAGTCAAAGAAGAGAAGGCATAACACTGATGGAGAAGGAGAAGTCCACAAAACAGCTGGGACTGGAATGAACAAGGAGCACCATTGTCAGTGGAACAGTTCCCCTATTATTCCAAAGATGATACAGAAGAGGAGAAAAAAACCCTCCTCTTTTCTCCTGCACCTTGATGTTGCTTCTGCTCCTGTGCCTCTTTGTTGGGGGTGAAAGATGTGTTTCAAGGATGCCCATAGGGTTCCCAGCAAATGTCCAGGTGGATGGCTGGCACTTTATGGACTAGGCAGTACTTTGGGGAAAAGCAATATGTACAACCCTGAATGTGATAATGCAAAGTCCTTCCCACCCCCTGAACCTTGTTTATGCTGTTTAGCATTTAATTTTAGAGGTAGTTTGCCTGTGGGGTCAGACGGCTTCCCCCAATTCTGTCCTGCCCAAACTCCTCTTTGCTTTTCTATCAATAGATACATCTGGGAATGAGTCTGATGCAACCTTTTGGGTACCCTCTCCCACAAGCAAAAAAACCAAAGGAAACAAAAGGAAAGCTAAGTTGAGTAGCTCTTATTTAAAACGTCATAAGAGATCAAGAATGGTTCAACCTAGCTAATTGCCACAACTCCACTTAAGAAATTAGGGATCATGGCCATGATTTTGTGCTATAACAAAAGGCCGTTGAATATTGTTCATTTACTCTACAGAGACCTCAGCTGTTCCACAGATTTTGAATGCTTGCTGGATACCCAGTGGAGTGTTAGAGTTGTGGATGGTGAATTCCAGATTTCACACATCCCTAGCTATGGTTTCTGTTCAGTTACAGGCCCAAGGGTTCCTGATTTGTGAGTTGTGTTTAAATAGGTAGCATATGTATATCCATAATTAGAGCTGAATCACTTGACCAAACTGGCACAAGGAGAAACTTGGACTGAGCGACTCCATCCAGATGGGTCACTGATTATACAGTTGCTTTGCTGTTGAACCACACCTTTGATATCACCCTGTCTTCACAGGTTTTAAAATTTATAATTTGAAGGAGGACAAATTATAAGATGGGCCATATGTTTTCTTGTTCATGCTCCCGAATCAGTCTTAAGTCAGAAAGCTAGCATTATCTGAGCTAGGGATGTTAATTTCTTTTTCTGCAGAGAAAAAGAATAAATGCATAGCTCTTTGCTCGGTGTGTGTAACAACTTTGTTATAAAATACCTAATATATACCCTACATACACATACTCAAATCTATCTCTTAGATATTTTGAATATATAAAAACAGACTTAAGGTGACTGATGGAGAGGATAAAAATGAACATTAAGCAGAGCTTTGGGACAAATAAGTCTGGCCACTCATTACTTTTTTATAGTCATACAGGAAGTAAGCAATTCATCTAGTTTTCTTTGAAGAGAATTCCTTCCTTACCTAAAGCACAGGACACTTTAGCTCTTTTCCTTATGATGTGTAGCTTCTGTTACAAACCATCATGGGCAAGAAGGCCCCCACTGTTGTCCAAAGAAACGCATGGTGGGATATGCAACCTGGCTGAGATGCTCTTATCTTAGCTTGTCTCCATGATGAATGTGGTTTAAAGTTCTCTCTCTGTATAGCTCTTTCTTATCCTTTAAAAACAGGGCTTCCAATGTTTGTCTTGTATATGACCCTTTAGATCACAATGTATATTCTTCTAAAATCCAAGAGGATTTGTTTTGCGTTTGCACTTGAGTAGATTTTGTTCAGTCTCAAAGAATCTGCTCCACTGCACGAAAATGAACGAAAGGGCCTTGCCATGTACATTCCTAGACTGAAGCAACCAAAGGGGCTATGGGAAAGTGAACTTATCTGCCATGTTCCTCTGCCCATAACTCCGTGCACCTTCATTATGTAGCAATCCCAATACTTGTACATGTAGCCATGTAGATATTTGTAGATATATTTATTTTTTTCAAACTTTTTTTTTTACTGTAAAATGCAAGCTTTGATTTGTAAAAAAAATAAAAGTTCCCAAACCAATTTTTCTCACTGTCCTTCTGACTCAGGGTTATGAAGAGGAGATGCCATAGATGGAGGTTTGTAAGAGGAGAACGACATTCGCCAGTTGCCACAAAAGCAGCCTAAAGCCTGGGTTGAGTCATTGTACTAAGGCAAAATACAGTTGGTTGGGTTTTGGCTTAGTATGTTAATACGATGCATTAATGCTAATTGTTGACCAACTTCATTATTTAGTCTTGTGGTTGTATGACGCTTTTTCAAACACTTACCTGCCCTAGCCACCTCCCCAAAAGCTGCTTGCTAATGTCTTGAGTACCACCAATGCCAATATGTCATCTCAGAAAATGGGAGAGGAGAGCCTAGAGGCAACTTCTCAAAACCCTTCTTATAGGTGCTATTGTGACTGTTAACAGCGTCTGCTGTCTGTTCACATTAATACATCTCCAGAAGATTGTCTTTCAATGTTGCTCTAGTTGCATTACACAATAACCGTCTAAATGGAAATGCCTTTGATATGGCTGGATTTGCACATCATGGGTTTGCCCTGCAAGGTATTCCAGACAAGAAGCACAACTAGGAGTACTAGCTCTGTCTTTATTGTAAAGTTACATTAACAGAATCTTGCAAGACTGAAAGTATTTCTCCCCTCCTTTCCTTTTGTTCTCCAGAAAACTAGGGAGGGCCCCTTCTGAAATGTTTCCCACCCCCTCCCTCCTTCTGTGGGCTGAGATACCTTTTACACACCGGTTGTCACCTGTGGCTCTCCCTCCTGCCTCCCAAGGTCATTTCCACATACCATTACAATGATAGACTGTTAAAAATGAAGTTGGGTAATTTGTGGTTGTTGAGTAGGCTATGAGAAACCAGACTTTGACCTAGTATGTTGTCTGCATCAGGCCATTAAATTAAACCATAGCATGGCTTATTTGCTTAGGCATGGCATGTTATGTGAACACAGCAATTATGTTTGTTAACCTGGGTTAGGATTTAGTGTGACATGCAAATCCAACTACAGAAGCCTTTTAATTTAATTATGCATTTCTTAACTTATGCATTTCTTATTTATTAATTCATTTTATCCTCAATCCTCATGGACTCTAGGCAGTTTACAGATATTAAAAGAGCAATAGCAATAAATAATCAATTTTGAAATGTTGGTAACAAAAGAAACTCTTATCTTGGATTTAACTTGGCCAGCTCCCTAAAGACTAACATTAGCCTCTGTAGCTGCTAAGAAGGCCTTGAATGAGGTGCCATTTCATTTTGCTATTTATTTTACAGACTCTAAGGAATTTGTTTCTTGTATGAACCCAGTCAGTATTTCTCAACCACCCATTAGAGAAATGGGGGCAGAAGGGCAATTTCCAGAATGACCTTTAACCTCCCCCTAATTAATCCACTTCTTCCTTCTCACACACCATTAATAGTCCACTCCTAACAGGTGTCATAAAGACTTTGGCATCTCCAATAAAATGCTGATCAACTTATCAAGTGAGTCAATCTGAAATTAATATTTGTTTTGGTAGTAATGAGGCTCATAAAAGGCAGGCTGGGAGAGGGATGGGAAGAATGTTATTAGCCTCAAATGCCAAATACCCAGGTCAGTCACCTGCAATCCATCCATCTGGCCTTGCTGGGTATCCTGAACACTGTCTCTTGAAGAAGGATGTGCAATATCTGGGAACAAATGAACTGTTGAACCAACAGGCCCCTTTGCTGTTGCTATAAAGTGTACACCATGCTATTGGGTAGGTACAAATCAATAACATTCAGGAAAACTGTGGAAAATCTCCTTAGTCATGTTCTTGTACCTATTTACTGTAGTGGTAAGGTGATTAATGTGCATGTGTATGTGTGAAGGAGACAGAGAGAGAGAGAGGTGGTGGATTTTCCTGTTTTTTATTGCATGATCATCTCTCTGCAACCTTCTCATGGTTGAATTCCAAGGAAAGGTATCATGAAAGCCCGAGGACCCTTTTTTAGATTAGGAAGTTCAGGGGACAGGGAAGTTTCAGAGTAGTAGACTTCTAATCTGGGAAAAAGCATGCTGGTGATTCTCCCAGTAGTTGAGACCAACTTTCACATTTCTCTTGGTGCTGTTTTCAACCTTATTTTACCACTGGAGGTTTCTGTTACTATCGTTCCCTCACTCTGAAGCTCCCATGGGTGCTCTGTTCCCCAACTGAAAAAAAACCCATAGTGGGAATTTCCTCAGGGTGTCTTCCCTGGGATATACTAGGTGTGAGAAGCTGAGGAGATTGTGGATGGCTGGAGAGAAGTCCTTATAATGAAAGACAGATTATTCACACATACCCCTTTGTGCAAGAACTCTGCTCTCCACCATAAGAAGATAACCTAAATCCTCTTCTCCTTGGAAAAAAAAATTGGCAAGCAAATTATCTTTCCATCCCATTAAATAAGAGTAGCGGAAAAAATAAATCCAGGGAATTATTCTGCATGACACTAATTCAGGAGATCTGTGGTGAGGCAGCCAGGCAGATCTGCAGTGGGGGGGGTCAACATCTGCAAGGTGGTGGGCACGGTGTTGCAACTGAAATCCTGCCCCTTTTGTATATGCATGCATTGCACCTACCATCTTGCAGTCAATGACTCCCACCATGGACATCTCTGGAGAATGCTCATGGTAGTATTTTGCATGGTCCCTCTACCAACAAAGTCTCTGAAATCTTGCTGAAGCTTGTGGGTGAACCATAGTGGCAATGTCCTGAGTCAGCATGAGGAGGTTTGGCCTGGGAGCTACCATTTAAATTTCCCACAATGCCCTTAAAGTATAGGCATACAGGGAGCTGACTTCAGGTCTTTTCCAGTTACAGTGTTGACCATCCAGATTAGGAGCACCTTGAATTGGGAGAGCTAGTAATAGCTCTCTGACATTTAAGGAAGGACTTATTCTCAGCCCTATATGGAGATGGCAGGAATATTGAACCCAGGACCTTTTGCGTGTACAACTTCTGTTCTAAGTCTGGATTCCAAGTAGCCTCTCGAGAATATTCTGCATCGGTGGCAAGCCCAATACTCTGGGGCTCCTTGCCAATGTTTCAAGGGAGAGAGTTGAACATTGTTGCCCCATCCCCTACTTTCCCCTAAAACAAGAAAATGAGTACATGACATGAATTTATGACCCAGGGTATGATAAAAATGTATTTTTTTTCTTTTTTTCTTTCTTCCTTTTTTTTGCAAACTTAGCAAAATGAATCTAGCAACAAATTAGCCCTACTGAAAACACTGGAGGAATGGAGGTCAGAAGTCCTTTGCCGAGGGCGGATCTCTCCTTTCGTTGTTTGGATCAGCAGCAAAGTTGCCAAACATTCTGCTGGTTTCCTGGCACACATGCCAGGCTAGTGAGCAAACAGTCCATCTTGGAGGGTGTTTTTCTATGCCAAATTGTCTGGGAAACAAGGAAATTATAAAAATCATATTATGCATTTTGTTCAGAACTTTGAGAGAGGGGATTAAGCCAGCAGACAGAAACCTCCAGGTTTACATGAGTAACTTGCTCTTCGCTACACAGAGAACATGCTTTGCTTTGCTTGATAACCAGCAAACTTATGTGATCTCTTTTAGACTTCTGAACATTTGGAAGTAGCTAGAGATCCCCTTGGGGCCCATTTACTTCTAGGAAAGCGGCAGGACTTGCAGATGGTTTGCAAAAATAGCTTTGGGTTGATACAAGCAGAAATAAACAACTTAAAAGAGATCATGCGATAATATACAATGTATAGAATGTACAGGGCAAATATAGAAATAAGACCAGATTTCTCCCCCACACCCAGTTATTAAATGCCTACTTTTATGACGAGGAAAATAGCAAGATGTTTGTTCGGTGTAAAGTTAATAACTTGTCCAGGTTGCAAAATTTAATTCCCAAGAAGACAAAGATAAAATCTCTTAAAATGAAATGTTCCTAAACCATATAGCCCTTCAAAGGATACTGGACTAGCATTGTACATGTTAACTGTTGCAAGAATATTATATGTGCCTTACTGGACAAGCTGTCTGATTTCTTTCTGAGGAAGAATGGTTAACCATGTTGTGGGAGTATGTTTTGATTGATATCTGTAATAACTTTGTACCTTAAAAGCAAATCTAATATCGAATTCAGTTCTAACTGGAAGCCATTCCTGGACTATAACTGAACAGATTGATTTGTACTTGAACCCAAATTTTGGTTTGTCTTTGTATAAAGTTTATGTTTTAAGTTCACGGGATAGTCTAATTTGAATAGATTTTCAATGCTGAATGTATTCAATTTGTGATAGTTTATAATTTCAGTCAGTGGTTGTGGTTATTATTATATTTATATTCCACCTTGATTTTGTACAACTCAGTGGTGTAGATAATGCTCCTGTCTCCTATTTTCCCCACAACCAGAACCTTGTGAAGTGGGTTGGGTCAGGAGATAGTGACTGGCCCAAAGTCACCCAGCTAGCTTTCATGGTCCCCTGGTTTCTAATCCAGCACGTTTACCACTACACCAAACTGGCTTCTAGCTATTTATACTGTGTTGACCATAGTTCCTGTGAGGGTTCCTTGTTTTCCAAGGATTGGACACACCACAGCTTAGCAAATGCATACAAAATGCCTTATTTTATGCACCCATCTTCCCCAGCAACAGACTATTGCTGCCCACCCATCTAGGACTTGCAAGGTGATGTTGTCTTGTAAATCCGTCTGCAATGCTCAGTCCTTTAATACGTAGTTCAAGCAAAAGCCTGTAAGTCTGTAAACTGGCAGACAACCTTTGCCTCCTTCCAAACGTTCTTACTCTAGTTGGGATGAGCGGCTGTCTTGGCGCAGTTGTTCCTCTTCTAGTTGCTAGTGAGCTCCCGGCAAAGCTCCCACCAGGATACCCTGCTCCCCATAACTTGTGCGCCTGGCAGTTGAATGATAGTCCTCTTGCCTGCTAGCAATAGCTGCCAATCTTCAGAGGTGGCGGCTTCCCTGCCAGTAGGCCGTTTGCTGATCACCCTTCTTCCTACACACCTGTCTCCCGCAGTGTCTTAGCACTTGCTTTTCTAAGCTGAGAGCCTGGGTGGGGGTGAGGCTGCCTCTGGACGTCAACACAACGTCCTTGAAACTGCCAGGGTGGGGCTCAATGATCACAGGCAGCTGGAACACCGGCTTGGATGCTTGCGAGTAAAGTCTGAGTTAGGGAAATGGGGTGAGAAGCGTTTCTGCCTGGCTGCAGCTACTTTTCCCAAGCAACCCCAACTTCGCTCCCACACAATTCCTCTTCTGTATTTTTAGCTTAAAGCTTAGTAGTGAATCCTAGTCTTTTAAAATGAAATATTTTATAATTGGTAAATAATGAATGATATATTGGAAAACTCATCCCCATGACCTTTTAGATCCTTTGTTTATTGATTTGTATTTTACTATTTTCATTTTATGCTTTTCTTCTTTTTACATGACTTGTACTTCTTTTAGTTTATACTCTTTTTCTAAAATGTTTAATAAAATAATAGGTGGTATTAAAAAAAAAGGCAGCAGCCATAGATCTAGCTATCCTAAGGCTGTGCTCACCCAACAGGCTTAACCAGGCAAATAAATAAATACATAGATAAATGAATCACATGCCAGTTTTGAGACCGCAGTATGTCTATATATAGATTTACATTTAAGACATGAGATTGGCTGATACTGCCAAGCTAAGCAGGGCAAGAGGTAGTTAGGACTGTGAGACCTTCAAGAAATGCCAGGACCATGAGCTATCCTGGGAAATTTTTTAATAAAAAAAGTCTGAAAGTTGGCAATAGCCAATCTCTTCCATACTGATCCCAAGACAACTACATAAATGTATCCATAAAGAACTGAGAACTGAGCTCAAATCAAATGAGACTTATTTTAGTTAACTGTTGATTGATAATACTGTATGCCATCAGGTCAGTGTCAGTGGAGATAGATTTTCTCCAGGATGATCTGTCCTTCAGGTCTTCCACCATTACTGCTCTGAGTCCATCCACCTTGCTGTTGGTCACCCTCTCTCTCTTTCCTTCCACCTTTCTAGCATTATGGACTTCTCAAGTGAGCTAGGTCTTCACATAATGTGTCCAAAACATGATAATGCTCATTTGTGCCTTGAGGGAAAATGCTGGATTGATTTGTTCTATGATTATTTTTCCTTTATGTCATGCTAAATATCCCTTTCTACATAGTAAAAAAATATAAATGCAGACCAGTCAGAGATTTAGAAATTAAAGGAAATGCACACTGCAGAATTCTACTTAATTTGATACTAAGTGAAATTTAAGAAAGAAATGCAGTGCTTTTTACTTGGACTATTGACTCACTATTACTGATCTTCTTCCATATATCCTTCACAGTCCCAGCGGCCAATGAGCATATTCAGATCAGCAAGTACAAAAGACCAAACCTTCAGTGTGGTAGCCCCCATTTTTGGCAATTCCTTCTGGAGAAATTGACCTGGCCCCATCCCTGTTGACTTTTAACCCATTTGTATTTGAATCATCTGTGTGTTTAATCGATGTTAACATGTTCTGCTTTTAAATATTTTATTGTTGCTTAAATATCAATAGAGCTGATATGGTGCCCTCAGGAGAGACAGGTAGGATATAGATTAAATCCATGACAACAGCAGCAATAACAACTTCTGCAGTGTATTCTGGGCTGTAGGAGAGTGGCCTCTCTAAGGAGGATTGGAAACCTTTTAAACAAACAAGTAAATCCATACTGAGTTTTAAGCAAATTAAGGATACCTATGGAAATT